GGCATTGAAACTCCTTCCAAACATCAAGCAAATCGGCTCTCAAATCGACTCTCAAAGAATATACTCAATTTCCCAAAACCACGAGAATTAAAGCATTTAAACCCACCCTAAGGTCAACAAATTAGAGGTAAAGACAACTAAGAGGACCACCAAACTCAATACCAAACTCAACATAAAAGAACCCAACTGACTGATTTCGGGTAGGGTAGTAAGGCAACAGTCCACGCCAACACAGGGAATATAAACTGTAGATTTCAATTAGGAGCTGCGAAAGCACCACTCAAACCGACACAACAGAGCCCACATAGTTGATCTCGGGTAGGAGCAGCAAGGCAACAACCCACGCCAACACAGAGAACCCAAATAGCTGATCTCGGGTCGGAGTAGCAAGGCAACATCTCAAACCAACACAGGGAACCAAAACTGCAGATTTCAGGTAGTAGCAGCAAAAGTACCACCAAAACCAACATAGGGAGGCCACAATAAAGACTTTGAATTGATCCAACTAGGGAAAACAATCGAATTTAACACAGGGAAGCTCCAGCTAGGCTCTCGAATAGAGCTAGCAAGGAAAACAATCCAAACTAACACAAGGAATCTCCAACAAGGCTCTCAAATGGAGTTAGCAGGGAAAACAATCCAAACTAACACAGGGAAGCTCCCGCAAGGCTCCCGAATAGAGCTAGCAACAGAGAAGAAACATAATAAAACTCCAAAAGCTCCAAAGCAAAAAGTAACCATTTGCATATGTTTCAAATAGGGGGGAGGGGGGGGGGGACAACTAAGCCCCAAAACAGAAAGTGATCAATTTCATAAGTATGCCAAAACGTTTTCGTAAAACTGGAGCCAAGGAGTATCTCACAGCCAAGCGAGTCTAAAAACATTGCACACATGCATCCCAAGAGACATAAAATAGGCCTAGATAATGCAGCCTGCGGGTAAAGATAGTAGGGAACAAATTGGCAAAGAAAACACCAAGTATATAGGGTTGAAACAGCATTTGGACTTCACATAAACTAAAGAAGGTGGATGACATAAATGTTTAGGTGTACTAAGAACAAAAGAAAAAGATCTTCACATGCATAACACTTGAAATATTGCCAAACACCCTCAGCTAAGAAAAAAATGAGGTAATTAAATCAAGCTCAACAAACTTGCTAAAGGCCTAATCATTCATAGCAATTGATAATAATTCCAAAAGGAAAATCTAGGCAAGATAATCAAGTATATATTTTTTTTGAAGCAAAATCTTGCTCAAGATTTTTTTATTCCCCTGGGCTTATTCAGCCTCTGTCGGGCAGAAAAGAAGAGTAGAAAGAAAAGCAATTACCTTGCTCGAGCCCTTTTGAAAGAAAAAAAAGAAAGCCACTGAACTCCTAAACACCAAGTTCTCAATATCCAAGCCTAACCTAGCGGAAATTGCAGCAGAATCTCCTCCAGACTCAAAATTTTGGTCACCCCTTCATGACCCCCCCTTCATGGGGTTTTATACCTGAAGAAGAAGACCAGAAAGAGAGGAAGAGGGAGTTTAGTCGTATCATCGATGGATGATGGGGGATTGCAGAGCATAGCTAATTAAGGGAAACGTGCGCAGAAGGCTCAGGTAACCGCAAACATGTCGCAAAGGGGAGCTACGAAGTGAATCGACATACGGTCGTGTGGGTCAAAGGGGATGGATGCTTCGGACGCATCAGTCACAGAGGGAGAAGAAACTTCGTGCACAATGAATCAAGGAGTCACCTCGACGAGGCGTGGAGAGAATGCTTGGGCAGGCGACCAAACTGGGGGGCTTAAGCTGTGGCGTGCGTGTGTTTTGGCTAAGCAGGGTTAGCGATTTTATATTATATCCCTTATATATATATATAAAGGATATATATATATATATATATTTAAAATACCCTAATTTTCGTGCCATTTGTGCGTGTCGGGAATTGTAGTGATGCGTATGTCCTTCCTAGCTAAAGTCGACGCTCTGGATGCACTCCAACAGTAAATTTTGTCGTATGTGGTCATCCAGACAACCTCGGTGATGACCGGGTCGAAAACGCTTCAAATTCAAATTTCCTTAAAATTTCATTCCGTGATCGATTATTCCAGCAATTGATTCGAGCTTGATCAATCATGGAGCTTTCTACAGGTGCAAATGACATTAATTCCGATATTAATGTGCATCAAGTGCGTGAATTGTGGTATTCGTGCATTGTGATAGTGCGCTGAAGTCACGATGAGTTTCCTAAGACTTTAGATCTTATGTATACTCGACTTGAGTTTTTTTACATTGATTTTAATCGATTCAACCAAATAATGAGGATTTAGATCCATCCATATGAAATTGCAAGGAGTCAAGAAGTGACTCGAATTTCTAGTTAGTGCGGGTCCTTGACTAGTCCTCCAAGTGAGTCCAAGAGGAAGTCCTAAGTCTAGACCCTAGGCTCTTAAGGAGAATGAGAGACATCAGTAAAAATGAGGTCAACAACAGTTTTGCTGCGTCAATCCCCGAAGTTGACATTGGAGGGAGCCGCGTGTGCTTGGAGCCCTAGGCTGATGAAGGAATAAGATGAGATGATGATGGGGGAAGAAGAAGAGAAGTTTGTGCGGAGGGAGCCGAAGCGAGTTCTCGATCCGAATCTCATATGCATAAGAGATGTTTGAGCCGAAGGAGAAGTGAAGAAGAAAGTGTGTTGGTCGGGCCAAGTTTAGAGGAGACCAAGTTAAGGCATGGGTTTGAAATGTTATATTTATGAATTTAATATATTAATATTATTAATATTAAATCTCTAAGATAATATTTTATATAATAAATTGAAATGGGAATAAATAATAAAAGTAATTAGAATTACATAATAATGAAAAATTTAATAATTAAATAATGTAAATTTATTAAATAATTAAATTGTTAACAATTAATGATTTGTAATATGAATATCCATGTTTAGGCTCAATTTTTAAAATAGTCGACGTCAAGACAAATCAAGTAACAAATTAATGGATATCGATGTGAATACTCGTACTTTTAATTTATAATAATAATTTATTTTTTCTCAACTATTTTACAGTTAATGGAACTTGTATATGATTTATTTATTTTTTTATCCGTCATATTGTTATGATTGTTATAGCTATTTACTCTCATGCATTTATATAATATGCTGAATTGAATGAGATGAATACATGACTGATATCTTTATGTAGAATGCTTGTATATGCATGCTAACTATGATGGAGTCACCCCTTAATGGTACTAGTGAGGAACAGTAAGGTACATGTGCACGTATTTGAAAAATGTATTTGGAAAATGATATTAATATTGATGTGTCTTAATTAACATCGTATTTGAAAAATGATATTAATATTGATGTGTCTTAATTAACATAAATTTTAGACGATGCTACTGTGACAGTTGTACACATATAAAATAATATCAATTTGATATTGATATAGTAAGGTTCTTTGAATAACGTCAAATATTTTTATTGATTTATTAAAAGTTTGAATAGCATACATATTGCTTCATTTTCTCATTTATTACTGTCATTTGTGAGTATGAGTATTCACTGACTTGTCTTGTTCATTGTTATTTTAAACTAACTTTTCATTTTAATTAAGTGATTAAAAGATAAACGATACACAAGAAAACATTTATTGAAAACGCGGACAACTGTTAACAAGATGAATGTAATTTTATTATTTAAGTATAATTTAAGTAGTAACTCTTTCATTTGTGAAATTGTAAATGAATATAGTAAATTTAGTTTTCATCATCCGACCATCTGTTCCCGTCTTGGTTAATTCTAAACCCAGGGCCGGGTCATAACATCTCGCTTCCGAGGTGATGACTGTATGGTGCTCCTTCTTTATCTCGCTCTCGAGATGGTGATTTATCCTTCCTCCATCGCTCCACGTTGTCCTTCCCTATGCCCCCCCCAAACGCAGTATATCTTGCTGAATTTCTGCAGTTCCGGCCGCCACGGTTGGTCTCCCTAGTTCTCCACTTTGCTTCCGGTGTTGTTCCAGCCCTTCCGCTTCGCTTCCACTGCTTTTCCAGTTCTTCTGCTCCGCTTCCATTGCTATTCCAACCCCTCCCTCGTAGTTTCCTGCAGCCATCAGCCCTCCCAGCCACTTTCCCCACTGTCCAACCTCCTATTTCTTCATGCCCCCTCCGAAGACAGCAACCACAGTTGTCTTTCTTATAGCTTTGCACCTCCCCGTCATGGTTACCCACACACCTTTGCTGCCGCCACGCCTTCCAACCCTTCCCCTACCCTTTTGCTACCTCTCCGGAGTATCAAACCATCACCGATCACCATCACCACCCCGTGATCCACCCTAATTTGTTTTTGTATTGTCATTGTCCCAATTCATATTTTCGTGTGTTGTGTGCATCGTTATTTCTGTTTCAGTGTGTTGGTTGTAATTGCTTATTGACTTTTGATAATAATATTTGTTTACTTATTGTTGTTTAGGTTAACTCCAGTATTAATAGAGATGAGCCTTATCCTTATGATAATGCTGCTGGCCATGTGACTTTTATGTTAATTTCATGCTCTTTTTATTAATTTCACCATAATATCAAAGAATTGTTGACATGTTTTTTCTTGATTCGTGTAATTTTCATTCTTGACCTTTATAATACCCAGGAGCATCAAAGCTACTACAAAAAGAAAATTAGAGTAGCAGCATGCAGCCTCCGAAAGATTCAAATCACGAAAGATTCTAATGAACTTATTAAATACATATCGTATACTCAAGTTTAAGAATTGAGAAACAGAACCACTTTTGGTCTATATGTGAAAAGCTATGATTGCATCTTTGCAATATTTGAGTTATGTGGCATTTACATTCATAGCACACAATTCTTATTTATTTACATATCTCACACCTAAGCTTTCATATATATACACAATACCCAAATCTTTAATATCTCAAGATTAAACTCGTTATTCTAGTCATCTATCTTTGATAATATAGTGACTGAAAAACTCACTATTGTAGCTTTTTAGGCAGGGCTTTCAGGTTCAAGCGCCATTGTGTGTGCTGCTCTGAACTGCCTCCTTGATTTCTATAAAGTCAGACATCTTGTAAAAGTACAAATTAGGCCTGATCTCATTCTCAGTGCAGAGAGGGAACTTGGTATAGTTGCTGGTCTCCAGGACAGAGTAGCACAGGTTTATGGGGGGCTTGTTTACATGGTATGTTATTTAAGACTGTTGATTAAGCATAATTGCAAATACTTTCTCTTATCACATAGAGATGCATTTTTGTGCTTAACTTCTAGTCTGCCCAATATTAGTCCGAGCAATAAAATTATACGGTTTTACTGCAGGATTTTAGCAAAGAAAATATAGATAAGTTAGGGCATGGTATCTACATTCCTATGGACATCGACCTTCTTCCTCCTCTCCACCTAATCTATGCAGAAAATCCAAGTGATTCCGGGAAGGTTAATTTCTGTGCCTTTTTCATTTTCTTTTTGCTATAAATGCCAAATACTCTAATTGATGCCTATGATCCACTTATATGCCATATGTTGTTAATTCATGAACATTTCTTTCTTTTTAAAGCATAAACCAGAAGTTATCTCAACATTCTAGAGCAGTTTGATGGATCAAGAGTAATATAAAATGTACTGTTTTAAGCAAACTATTTTTTTTCGATATATTAAAACTCTGTTAATATTAATGAAGGGCGAGGTCCTTGGATTAAGGTACATATTTGTCCGCCCTTGGCCTGTTACCAGCAAAAAAAAACCACTTGCACTGAAATGCATTGTTTAACTGTTTTATTAAAGAAGTTGATGCGGTTGAGATCCATCACTTTTGATTAATTTGGTGGTTTAAATTTTGTTTGTTTGCATGTGTATTACCATTCATCCATCTTCACAGACTGCTGTGCTGTCAGGATGGAATGCTTTTTATTTTAAGACAATTTTAATCTTTTATTCTGTGGCTTCCCTTGTTTCCATGCAGATTCACATGTTTAATTTCTGTAATATTAATTGTTGCTCACATACTTGAAAACCAAATTGTCTATAATGTCACACTTAATATGGCTCAAACTATTACAAGAAATGCTGGACCAGGCTCGTCTTTCTTTAATGGGAAAATAACTCAAACCCTGGAACGCTTCACAACCACAGGTGGTGAAGAGCTTTTTGCCCTACTCCCTGATACTAATGGCTTGCATTACATCTTCCTCATCACCCATGTCCTTTTTCTGTGCACTTCTTGCAGCCTTATATTCCAAGTTTTTATCAGTTTCAATCTGCAGGGTAGTTTTTTTTTTATTTTTTTACCTAAACAAAATTTACTCAACTATGTTTGTTGTAGTTTTAATTCTTTTTAATGTGCCTGTTATTTTTCTTTTCATTCATGTGTATAAATTCTTATATTCCATATAATCTGATGATCCGATTAGGAGAGTAGATGTTTTAGATTTGATTTGTGTTAAAAAGGCAGAGGTAGACCTAGGAAGACTTGGGTTTATTGTATAAAAAATGATCTTAATTTACTAGAACTAAATGAAAATATGATACTAAATAGGAGGCAATGGAGAAAGAGGATTCATGTAGCCGACCCCACGTAGTGGGATTACGGCTTTGTTGTTGTTGTTGTTGTTGTGTATTCCATATACCCGAAATATATAAATCTTTGATTTTAATGCTTGGGATCGTTAGTATTCAACCCTATGTAGAGCAGGAACGTTGAACCATGCTTTATGCAGGCTTCTTTACACCTTAGCACGCCTCATCCATGATTCATCCTTCAGAAAATCGCATTCTACTACCATCCCCTGGCATGTATGGGCAATCAGACCATATGATTGTTTCTTTTCTTATTCTCTGCAGAAAAGCACCAACAAAGAGTTTAAGCCTTCCACAGCCTGTTTGTTTAAGAGATTATACTCACTAACATTTAAACCTGTCATTTCTTCTTTCAAGATGAGAGAAGATTTGTTTCGCTGAACTCCACAAAAAGTTCGTGTGACAGAATAAAATACTCAAAATGAAAACCCAAGAGGTTGACCCACCCGCCATGAAAAGGTCGCATCTCCCTTTACTAACATGGGGTATATTTCTAGCTAAGTATGGAAAGCTCAGGAATCTCTAAACCATCATAGGTGTTATGCATATGCAGTGATTTGGGGTGATGTCAGGCAGTATACTTGGCATTTTCTTACATTTGTACCATTCATATCATTGTCTAAACCATCATAGGTGTTATGCATATGCAGTGATTGGGGTGATGTCAGGGCATTTTCTTACATTTGTACCATTCATATCATTGATATCACGTCAAAAATACCACCATTATAACTTTTAAAGTGTAAAATACACCTTTTAATGCATCGGTAAGGTGGCATGTATGTAAAAATTGAAGTGTAGCTGTTAGGTATGTAAATAGATGAGAATTGAGTGATATGTTCTGTAAATCTTCCTGAAATAAAAGATGAGAGGCAGTATTCAGGTGGGTGGCGTTTATCATATGGTGTCACTTGCAGCTTTTAGTTAGTGTGTTTTTTTGCTTCTGAATTTAACTTTGGCTTGTTTTCTAAAAGGAATATTGGTTCAATGGAACTGTTATTTTGTGGGATGGCAGGTTGATAGCTTCTGTATTCATGCTGTTATGTTGCGCAGCAGTGAGAGATTTTCACTTATCGTGGATGGAACTTGGGATAAATGAAGGATTGACATGCCGTTACCTTGAAGAAAAACTAAGCGGCTGATTTAGTTATTTAGGAAATTAAAATTAAATTGAGTTTTAATTTGAAATTGAGATTGATCCTATACTGGCCTTATTTACTAACCCAGGATATGAAGAATCTATAACTAATAACAGAAGTTCATAAATTAAAATTTGAAGTAAAATTCCTTTTATAGTTTCAATGTTATTAATACAAGTTGTTTGTGTGCTTTGTTAGTATGATACAAGTGCAAATGCTTTTTATCAGTGTGAGGCATAGCTCTTTTTGGGTGACTTCTTGTTTTGTTTTTTTCTCGTAAAATTATTTAGTATTATTATTTTTCTTATTTGTACATGGTGATTTAAATATTGTCTATTGAGGTATGTGCTTAGTTTTCTTTTAAAATAGTGAAATTGATCATTGGAAATTTAATATTCATTGCTATTTCTCTTGATTTCTAATTTAGGTGATTATTAAATTTTCTTTTGGAACGAGTAAAGCTTTTTTGTTGTCCTTAAATTAAAAGCGATAATTTTTGCTACAATTATGAATTAGTAACCTGAAAATTGTAATTTATTTTTTCATCTTGCATCTCATCATGTATTACATTAGAAACCCTAGATCCTTAAACAATCCTTCATCAACTTTTAGGATAAATTGAAAGGGACAATCATGATAAAGCAGCTCTAAAATGATAAAGTAACTCTTAGGATAAATTGAAAGGGACAATCCTGATAAAGTAACTTTTTAAGTTAGCAGCTCTAAAATGATTTTAGCGATTAAATCATGATGTAAATTCCTTCTCTTCTATAGTTGAGTAAATGAATGATTGCGTATATACTTTTCTGTTCTCAGTATTTAAAAAAGGAAGAAAGTTTCATATAGGATTTCTAATAATGAAGGTTAAGATTCATTTTTGGTAGAATACCAAGCATCTTCCAAATTAAAATATTAAACTAGAAATTCAAAAATTGCAATGCAATTTATGATCCAAAGAATTTCTAAATATCTTTTATACGCTGAACTCAAATCTAAATCTAGAATAGAGAGAGTTATGGAGCGTAAATAAGTATACTTTCAAAACGGTTGTTTTGATAGTCTCCTACTATTGAGCTCTTTGTGTCTTTTTTCCTTCCGCTATTATAGTTGGGTTGTAAACAATCAGCTTGAATAGCTAGGGTATTGAGTTGCCTTTGTGGAGGTTTTGGCTATCTGCAAAAGTTGTTATAGAGTTGTTGCAGGAAAATTATTTTTCAAACTATTTTAGGTGTCCTAAATATTTTTTATTTTGAAAAAGTTGGTGAACAACTTTCTTATTGTTTAGCTACCACGCTCCAGCAATATTTAGTTGTGAAAAGCAAATTTTAATCACAATAATTTCTTAAAAGTAGCAAGGAAGTAGTCAAATAGGCATGTGTAGCAATCTATAAACCAAAGCAGAAAAAAAAAGTTACTCCAAACATATCATTATATTCGTCATTGGGGAAGAAATTTTTTGAATTGAACCTTGAAAACAGGTTATCCTAACAAGGTTATTCATCTGATAATGAGAATGACATGAGAGGATCAGATTAGATAATTGAAGTTGGTCATGGAATTGAGAATTGAATAGAGTGAGAGTTCAGATGATTCATTCCTTCCGGCTGAATGAGGTTTAGGATTTTTCTTTCAAATTTAAAGGTTGAATATTTTCTTTAAGTGAAAACACAAACTGCTTTTTAATAATAGTATGGATCTATTATACTTCGATACCAAACCAAAATCTGGAGAAATCTGGAGAGGAAATTGACGGAAAAGAAGCAAACTTTTTTGCAAAGATATCACACTAGCATCCCTTTCCTGCTCAGCTTTTTGTCTGTTTCCTTCCACCTTTTCAGCTGAGTTATGAACAATCAAATTGGTATAACTAGGGCATTGCGTTGCCTTGTATCCTTTCTTGAAGAAGAAATTTCATGAAGCCTCAAAAAGTGATACCTGAAAAAGTGATCCCATTAATGAGAACAATACCTGATGATTGGGAACAGATAAACAAATAAAATTTGATACGGGATTTAGGATTTGGTAGAGCAAGGGTTGAAATTATTTTTTCATAGGGTAAGCTGGGAGAGTTAGGGATTTTCTCTCGAATTTACTGGTGGCATATTTTTTTAGTTAAATCACTTGCTGCATGGTAATAGTATATATTTTTATGGTTTGATTAACTTGATTTATGAGTGCTTTATGTGCCTTTGATCTATGAGGATTAAAGTATCAAAATAGTCCCTTGACTATGTATATTGGGTCATGTTGGACCTGGAATTTATAAAAGTGTCAAATTAATCCTTAAACTTTTTAATATGGGCTAGAATAGTGCCCATTAAGGACTAATTTAGCTCCCATGAAAAGTATGGGGACTAAATTGACACTCTTATAAATTCTGGGATTAAAATGGACCTCTAAAGAAAGTCATAGGATAATTTTGACACTTTTGTCAATCAATATGACTCTTTTAATAGGTATGTATTGCTGTGGACTTGACCACTGGAGCGGCTGTTTTGATGGATGAAATCTAGAAAGAGATTGCTTGTTATGCATTGCTGAAAAATTAGTGTTATCCATGTGTTTTATTCCACAATTATGATGGCATATCTTAACGCACGTTAATAATGCTGAAGAATGGAGTTCTTAACTCTTAAATCACAGCCTCTAGGATGACCAATGAAACTTCCGCTTCAATACTGGCCATAGGGATGATTATATATCTTTCTTAAACAGATCGTGTTCTTTTTTTTCTTTTTTGTCCATAATATATACATCATGGCCTTATTCTTTGTACGCATACAAATATAATAATAGTCATCCAGCATAGCTCAAAAAGGAAATAAAACTTATTTCTCCTTTTATTTTTTGTCTTGTGTTTTTGAAGGTTGTCATATATTTCTTACTTGGCCTAAAATGCACCATGCATAACTAAAATTCATTAAAGATTCATTGAAAATTTTAAGGTTTGCCTTTGTGCATATAAATCTGTTTGTCAGGTTTTTGCATACAAGAGCTATTTATACCGGATTACTCTCATGCATCTGAAATCATTTCAAATTGGTAATTTGAGTGGCATTATTATTTTGCATTTCTAAACTTGCCTTGAAAAAACGAATGGGAGTTCTCTCATTATTCTTCTACCACTTCGGCCTGTAGGTACACAGCACAGTCCACAAGAGGTGGCTAGACGGTGATCAATTTATAATATCATCAATGGAAGAAGTTGCAAAAATAGCCCTAGATGGACATAAAGCCCTGACAGAAAGGAACAACTCAGAACTTGCAAAACTAATGAATAGTAATTTTGATCTTCGAAGGTAAAAGAAATGGCGTATTCCGATAGCATTTTATATTCTATTAAAATTTTTTTTCTTGCTTCAAAATTCATTTGTATTTGGAAAGTTAAGAGTAATACTAGAGATGTGATATTAGCTGGTTTAATTTCACATTAAGGGTAAAGAACAGTGCCTCAGTAAATAGCTAGTTTTTGTTTCGGAAATAATGTAAAATTAGCTAATTGTGCAGCCTAAGGGAAGGTTCATACCCGTTTCAATTTGCGAACTTGTGTTTATAGGTTTACACATTTATGGACAAGAATAAGGAGAAACTGATAGGTGTAATGTACCTTTTCTTTCTTCACTCAAGATTATTGTTTCGTGCAGTTTTTATAGTTCTATTTTGTTCTTCATCAGCTCAGAGACGGTAACCTGTCCAGTATTTTGGAAAAGCTCTTTGTTTGCTTACTTTGTTGTGTCATTACTTCTGTCTTCTATACTACATTTTAAAAGGGCAATAAAGTTGTTGAAGTAAGGATATGTTTGAGACGGTTGTAACTTTTTGTAAATGTGATTGTAAAATTGTGTTTTGGAAAGTAACTTTTAGATAGTTGCTGTGGGAATAAAAATATTTAAAAATAGGCATCAACATTCTTACAGTCAACACACTTTAACATATATAGTTACAGAAAATAACTTTCCACTACAAAAGCTTTTTAAAAAGTAGGAAGAAAACAGTTTTCTAAACATGATTGTTATGGTGACCTGCAACGTAAACCATGCAAAAAATTGTCCCAAACAGACTCACCACAAAAATTCTGCACTTCTAGCTTTCTCAACTCATTAGCTTTTTAAGTTTATCAAATAGTTCCTTAAACAAAATTGTGGTAGCGATCTGAAATGAAATGCATGTAAAAAGCTGTCCATCTCTAGCAGGACAATTTCTCATTTCTTCACGTTGAGACCTTTGCTAGGTTCTTAAGGTTCTTCATTGCAGTTTGTATTTTAGATAAACTCATTTAACATCTCAGAATCTGGTTTTATCATTTATGTTTCTCAGGTGTGGTATGCTGGGTTCATTGATTAATGTCTCCTTTATTTGTTTAAGCATCGTTCACAATTTTTCTATCACTTGGTTACTTGTTAATAGTGGAGTGATGTGTCGTCTCTTTGTAAGTAAAAAATTAAGGCTTGCGAACATAGGCCAGGCTGGCATTTTTCATCCATATAACACTGTCATTGCTGGTTCCAGCTCGGATGTGAAAAGTAGAGGGTTGCGTTAGCTAGTCAACAACCAACGTATAATTTATCAAAAAATCATGAAATAAATCCTTTTGATCATTTTGTAAGTGCTATGGCGTCCCATGGAAGCGACATGTGGTATGGTTTGAATACAGTGAAAAGTGTGTAAGGACCGCTACACCGACGGCCTGGTGTAGTGTCAAATAAGCAAGGGTTCCTATATTATGAACGAATGCAGGTGAAGTTATTTCATAAAACTAATATTATGATAGGATCTTGGAATATAGGTACTCTCACTTGTAAGTTAATGAAATTAGTTGATATTATGATTCATAAAAAGATAAATATCTTATGTATTCAAGAAACTAAATGAGTTGGAGAAAGGGCTAAGGAGATTGATAACTTAGATTTTAAAATTTATTATTTAGGTAAGAGTCACACTAAAAATAGTGTAGGTGTAATTATAGATAAGATTTTGAAAGATAATGTTGTAAAAATTAATATAGTTGAAGATAGAATTATAGCCCTTATGATTATTGTTGATGCAATGATTTTTAATATTATAAGTGCTTATGCTCCTCAAGTAGGATTAAATATAGGTTCTAAAGTTAAATTCTAGAATGACTTGGAAGACTTAATACAAATGGTACTTTTTGAAGAAATTATTTTTATTGGAGGAGACTTAAATGAACATGGTGGTAGACTGGTAGAAGATTTTAGAAATATTCATGGTGGCTACGATTTTGGAGTGATTAATGAGGAAGGTAGAGTTATATTAGATTTTGCTTTAGCGTATGATTTTGTTATTGCTAATACTTTATTCTAGAAAAGAAATGAACATATTATTACATATAAGAATGAATCTAATAAAACATAAATTGATTATTTTCTTATAGAAGAAGAGATTGCCAAAAATGTAAAGATTGTAAGGTCATTCCAAGTGAGGATTTAAGTACTCAACATTATTAGTTATAAATTGTAAGAAGAAGAATTGTAGAATAAATAAAACTAAGAAACATCATCGTAGAATTAGACGGAGGTACCTAAAAGACAAATAAAATTATTTTTATGAGTAAAATTCAAAATTTCAAAATTTGAGATGTTCGTGAAGAAGCAATATCTTTGTGGGATAAAAAAACGAACATTATTAAACAAGTGACAAAAGTTGTACTTGGAGAATCAAAAGAAAAAGTTTTTATAAATAAAAATAGTTGGTGGTGAAATAAAAATATGCAAGAAAACATAAAATATAAGAAACTATGTTATAAAAGTTGGTTTAAATGTAAAATATTGTAAAACTGGGAAAAATATCAAACGACCCGTAGGGAGTCTAAGATCACAATTTGTGATACTAAAAATTTTGCTTTTAGTGATCTTTATAATAGATTAGATACTAGGTAGGGTGAAAAATATATGTATAAAGTGGTTAAAGAAGGAAAAAAGAAAAACAAAGATCTAACTCAAGTAAAGATGAAAATTAAAAAGTGTTTTTCTTAGAAAAAGATATTCAAAATAGGTGGGTGAGTTTTTTTGATAAACATTTTAATCAAGTTTGGAAAATATGATCGTCCTAAATGATCTTAATATCATTTATAGTAATAAAGTTTCATTTTTACTGACGCATTAGTAGAAAAAAAGTTGAGGCGGCTTTAAAGAAATCCATGAGTGGAAAGTCTTTAGGACTTGATGATATACCAATTGAAACGTGGAAATATTTAGGAGGTTTAGGAGTTTCTTGGCTTACTACTCTTTAATATTATTTTAAAAACTAAAAAGATACTTGAGGAGTGGAGGAAAAGTAATTTGATCCCCATTTTTAAGAATAAAGGGGATGCACAAGAGTGAGCAAATTAAGAATAAAGGGATTAAGTTGATGTGTCATACTTTAAAATTATGGGAGAGGGTAATTGAACATAGGTTAAAACGGTATTATAAAGATTTCTTATAACCAATTTGGATTTATGCCGGGCAGGTATACTATGGAAGCTATATATTTATTGAGAGTTTTGTGGAGAAGTTCAGAGATAATAAGGAGGATCTACATATGATTTTTATTGATTTAGAAAAAGATTATGATAAGATTCCTAGAGATATCCTTTGTAGAGTTCTTGAGAAGAAAGGTTTTGATATTGAATTATATTCAAGTCATTAAAGATATGTATATAAGAGCTGTTACCTGTGTTCGAACAGAAGGAGGATTTACCAAATAAGCTTATTTCTATTGGTTTATATTAGGGATCCACTTTAAGGCCATATCTTTTTGCTTTAGTTTTGGATGGTCTAACTGCACACTTGGTGTATGTTTTTTGCTGATTCATCCTTCTCCTGGATAAGACGCGAGAAAAAAACTCAGGAAAAACTTGTATTATGGAGGTTTACCTTGGAGTCTAAAGGCCTTCGTTTGAGTAGAACTAAAACTGAATATATGGAATGTAATTTTAGTAGTAGTAGTAGCTCTAATGACAAAAATGTTACTATGGGTGATCAAATTATTAAAATGTGTGAACGCTTTAGATATCTCGGGTCTATTGTTCAAAGTGATGGTGATATTGATGGGGATGTTATTAGTAGTATTCAACTTGGTTGGTTGAAGTGGAGGAATGCTTCCGCTCTATTGTGTGATAGAAAAGTACCACTTAGACTAAAAGAAAAATTTTATAAGGCGGTGGTGAGACTTGCAATGTTCTACGACGTTAAATATTGGTCTTTAAAAGAGAAGCATAAAATTAAGTGTTGTCGAGATGAGAATGATTAGGTGGATGAGTGGCTTTACACTGATAGACAAAATGCGAAATGAATATATCCATGATAGGGTTGGTGTAGCTCCAGTGACGGACAAAATTAGAGAGAGTTGTCGTAGATGGTTTGGGCACATTAAACGTCGACCAACTGATGATCCGATTAGAAGAGTAGATGTTTTAGATTCAAATTTTATTAAGAAAGGCAGAGGTAGACCTAGGAAGAATTGGGCATATTGTATAGAAAATAATCTTATTTTATCAGATTTAAATGAAAATATGACACTAAATAGGATGCTATGGCGAAAAGGATTCATGTAGCCGACCCCACATAGTGGGATAAAGGTTTTGTTGTTATTGTTGTTGTAGTATTCATTTTTTTTATCTAAGCAAATTACTTGTAGGTAAATTTTATAAATTTGCAGGTAGGCTGATGGATTTAAAGGTTGGTAAGGAAAAAGTGATTGATATTTAATCGTACATAATAAAAATGAGAATATTAAGATTGATATTATAATTGAAAATAGGCTCAAGTGATTTGGATGTGTCTTGCAAATAATTGAAAATAGATCCATTAAAAAAATATGTAAAATTAATGTCATAATAATAGGGGAATTTAAATATATTCCACGCAATTCTTATATAATTACATATCTAATTTCTAAACTTTGATATTTACATGCCAACCACTAAAATAGTTAACATCATATCAAAAATATGACTATTACTAACTTTTTAAACTTGAAATTCACCTTTTCATTTATATGCTTATAAAACCAAAGTGTTATAAATCTAAATATCAAATTTTTGGTGTTAGATTTGGTAACACATAAAAATTGTGTGGCATGCATGTAAATATCTCTTAAGAATAAGGACGAGAAAAGGAACTAATATAACACGAACATATGTTGCTCAAAATGATTTTCAAAACAAATGTTTATCCTTGCAGTGCCTTGCTAGAACAAACCAAAAATGGGAATTCATAAAACTGACTTCGAATATTCGATTAAGGCTAATGATGGCGATGATGATTTGCCGTCTATATCATACAAATTGAATTTTATTTATTAATTTCTTCTTCTTCTTTTTTTGGTTATTATTATTATTATTTTTTTTTTGTCAGGAAAATGTTTGGAGATGATGTGCTTGGTGCTCTAAATATACAGATGGTTGCGACAGCTAGAGGTGTAGGTGCTGCTGCTAAGTTCACCGGAAGCGGAGGAGCTGTGGTGGTGTTCTGTTCTGAAGGGCCGGAACAGGTCAAGCTTCTTGAGGATGCTTGCCTGAAAGCTGGTTTTGTTGTGCAGCCCATTATAGTCGTTCCCTCTGTTCTTACAGATGAGGATCTCCTTATGATATCTAGCTGAATAGCGCCTTGTAAACTGATATGCTTTATTATTCTTTCTTCCTGGAGTTCTCAAGCTACTGTTAAAGCCACAGCGTATCGTTTGTTTTTAGTGAGATTCACATACATACGACTGAATTCCCATGTATTTACATATTTAACACAACTTCAATTTTTACATACATGTGGCATTACCAATGCATAAAAAGCTGTACTTCACATTTAAAAAGTTGAAATGGTGGTATTTTTTATGTGATATCAAAGATTTGGGTGGTATTTGAGTAAAATGTAAAGTTTGGGTACTAGAAATGTGAATATATAGAAATTGGGTGGTATATATGCATCAACATGTTCATTGTGGATGCATGGATGCATGAATATCTTCATTTTAGATGCTTGAGGAGTTTTATTTTACTTATTTGTTGAAGTGAATGGGATTTTGATTCGTTGATTTTAAATGGTGGTGGGAGATTGCAAGCATCAACTAATCTGATTGATAAATGCCTTGAGAGTTGGTTCTTTTTTTTTTTTCGAGGTCCTGGATTTGACACTCGCCTACATAATAATAAACTCTCATGTGGCAAGCATTCTAGTGAGCTATAAAAAATGTTGGTGGGGCAGTATTTTTTCATTGAAATTCTATCATGACATCCAAGTACGATGCATTGCCTTCAGCATAGCTCAATTTGGTTGAAAATCATTTTAGATTTATGATGGTATTGATTTTATAAAATGGAAACTAAAATTAAAGATGTTAATGTTAAATCAATCTTAACCACTCGGTAGATATAATTTTGATTCCTTTTATTTGTATGTTTATGACTTTTGAGGGTTTTTTCCCAAATTCATTTTACTATAAACAAGATAATACAGTAGGAAAATATGTATTCAAAATTACATGTGCAGATGAAGTGAACAAAAAATAAAAGATCAAAAATTGATAAGGTCTCACTCTACAATCAGCACATCGGAGGCATCATAAGAATGAAGGTAGAGGTCCTGGGAGGCAGTAGATCAAAGTAGAAATACACTATAGATGTCATTGGATGATTGTTTAGCAGGTGGCAGCAAAGAGTAGCAGTTGTAATTTAAAGATAAGAAATCTGTTTATAAACATAAATTTAAACAACAAGCCATAAGATTTTGAGGTTGTTCGCCTAGTGCTACATATATCCTCACCTTTTCATTAGGTCTTTGTATGACTTGACTATACAATATAATCCCTAACTTGTTTTAAGATTCTGAGAATGTCGTTCGTTATGACTTAAATCCACACAGCTTCCGGACCATTTATAAATTTTTTTTCATGTGAATGTAAGTCCTAATTAATAAAATTGATAGGATACTGAATCAGATCCAAGAAGATACTGCATCAGATCCAAACTGCATCAGCACAAGCCACCACTCAGAGTCTTCAGCCTGCCGAGCCAGAGATGGGAAAGTTTGCCAAAAGATTTGCCACAATCAAAGAAGAAGAAAAATGCCACCATGAAGGCTGATAGGGGGGAGGGGGG